CAAAAAGACAAAAATATGCCAAAATGTGGCATGTGGCGTGTTTCTAAAAACCTCCTGCCAAAAAGGTGTTTTTTTTCCTCCCCCCACTTTACACTGCTTTGTAGATGTGCAGCTGCTCCAATTTGAACATGTTGCCTCATGGTGAGGCGTAAACCTCCTTAAAGCTGTGGAGAAGTTTTAATCAAGTGTGAAATCCGTTTGGGGTAGATGCCTACGTGACTGTACTTGCACTTAAAAGCTCGCTCCTCAAACCTCTCTTCCTGTGAACATCTCCTGCAGCTCAAGTCCATTTTCACTGTCATGATGCTTCCAGACCATGTTTGCAGATAGCAGAGCTGAGTGAAAATGAGACTCCGCTCATCAAGGAGAAGGAGGCATGCATGCACACGGGTACAGATGTGAATCTCTTTAATCAGTTTTTCATCATTTGATAAAGCTATACCGTAGTACCTTACATAAACTATTCCACTCATTTTGTCACAATAGGAAATGTTAGTGTATTTTATAGTGGTTTTATGGGATACACCAACACAATACAATGTTAATTCTGAAAAAAAAGTGTAAATTAATAGATATCTTCTTAGTTTTAAGTTTAGTTCTATTTGTCTTTTTCAAAATTCTCTTATGTATGTGTCTTCAAAAGAACCTTACTGAAGATGCCTTGTTCAAAACTCCTCCTAAATGGACAATGTTATTAAAAAAATAATAAAGAAACACCAATATTCACCTTTAAAACACCATCCCCACAGTAAAATTGTAAGTAAGCTGGTCAAACTAGGCTGGAAGGCAGATAAAACTCACTAAAGGACAACATGTTAATTAAACTAACATCTAGCCAGAGCTGCAATTACATCCACACATATTAATGCGTTGGAATGGCCCAGCCAATGTGGAGAGCTTAGTTGAAATTATGTGCAAAGAGGGGATTGATCTTGAACTATATTGCTTTTAAAAGTTGGTAAAGACATTACTAAAAAGTCCCGAAGAGGCAATGCACACTTTTCAGATTTATATTTAATAAAAGAATTATCAATTATCATAATTAACTGATATTACGTTGATGCATTTTGTGTTTGGTCTATCACAAAGAATTGCATCAAAATACATCTAAAATGGGTTTGGCTATTCATAAGTGCCCTATATATTTTTTTCTTTCTTTCTACTATGTTAAACATAAAAAAATGCAATTCCTTTGAAATGAGCAATAGCTTAATTACAAAGTCCTTATAAACACAAGAAGTGACTTAAGCATCCCAGTAATTAAGTATGCATGAATAATGCAGAACATTCCCCAATTGTGAAGTGAATGTATTAAATAGTCTAAACATCCTGCTGTTTTGGATTACAGAAACAATGAGATTAGCTCCAAAAACAGCTTAAGCTATGGATTCTTCTTCACACAGTTCATATCACTGCAATAATGGAACAATTGTGTATGGATTACTAGCGAGAATTGAATAGTTACCAATATGGGAAACTGGTAATATAATATGGTCTATTATGCATTAATTAGTAGCAAAGCAGTAAAATGTCTTGGCATAGGCACGGTTTCCAGGCTTTTCATTCAGTCTGGAACATTCTGTAATTTGTTTTTAGGCTTTACTAGGTCAAGATAAGTTTGGAAAACAAAAACTGGTTATAATAAAAAAAAATATATATATAAATCTTGTTCTTCCTCCAACAATTCCTCCATGTTCTCTTCGCTCATACCTTCTTGTAGTTCGCTTCCTCCTTTTGTTTGTTTTTGCCTCTTTTTCTTCTGTCTTCCTCAAGCCCTTCTCTTTCCATTCTTCCCACTGTCATTCCTTTGGTCTCTATTCTCATTCCTTCATTCTGTTCTTCGTTAATCCTCATTTAACTTCCTTTGGTGATTGTATGAATTATGAAGTCCCTTCTTCTTTCCTTCCTTCTTTTCTTCATCATTCCTTTCTTGCAGCAGACTCTGAAATAATTTGAATTGTAGATATGGTTGTTTTTCTAAAATGGAGTCCTTTACGGAAGGTTAAACATGTGAAAAAATTGTTTAAAAAAAAAGAACATTTGAATTAACTTGAAAGCTACAGCTCATTTTGTTCTCTGACTGTGTTGACGTCTAGAACAGTTTTAAAATGTAAGTTACATTAAAATGTATTTTTTTTGTCAGATAAATTGTATAAACCTGGCTTTTAGGTTACAATGTTAATGTCACTGAGCATTTTCTTACATTTTGTGAGTTTTTCTTATTTTTGCATTATCTGCTTTAAAACCGTCAAAGCCAAGGGTGAAAGTCGTTTTAAATTATTGTATGTATGTAATCCAGCATTTTTCAATCAATTTTTAAATATCTTACCATAAATGCCATGCCACTATTATTCCAAATCTTTTGTCGATAGAAATGCATTCGTAGTTGTAATAGAAATGTTACTTACCAATGGTAGTCTTTTTTCTTTTTACGTATTTTCAGGTGTATGCAGCACTTACAGAACTTTCTGTTGAAAGAAAGATATGGAAAATATCAACAGCAATTTTAACTCTTAATTAATGAAAACCAAACCATTTTCTTCCATAATGTCAACATACAGTTATGAATGTATCAGCTAGGCTATGTAAGCTGCCACATACTCTTGCTAACCATACAAGCAAAACTTATACCTGCAGCATACAGACTACTGTCTACTGTCTAACAGAAAAAATGGTAAAATAGTAAAAACTAAGATCATACCACACTTACAGTGCATCCAAAGGTAATAACAGCACTGCTATTTTTCCACACTTTTATTATATATTATTATAATTTTATAGCCATATCCAAAATGTATTTATTCTCTTTTTTTCAAAGTCTAAACACAAATACGTTTAACTGATTCAGCCTCTCCTTCAACCGTATGCAGAGGCCAAACCAACCACTATCAGCAGCGAAATCCATTTAGTAGCAGTTAAATATCTATTTAAAGCTGTTTCTTGTTAAAAACACAACCAATAAAAACATCTGTTAGAACATTCATGAACATTTGTTTACCTAATGTTGAATCAGCTGATTGTGGTGCACTGGTATGTAGGTTCAGTCTTCCTTTTGGGTGCATTTGAATGACAGCAGTGGGAGGTACATCAGAATAAGGAACAACTGCAGCACAGCGTGTGTGGGGGGTGCGCTGTTGTGGCTCATGTTTTCAGAATTTTTATTCTTAAAACAGCATGAGAAAAGGGTGCAAGTCAGGGCCGCACATCATTGCTATTTGTTATTCTGTTCCTCTTCTTTTTTTCTTTTTTTTTTATCAGCACCCTCTTCAGCAGTTGGTGACCCCCCATATGGCCTATGCCCAGACGCAGCACCACTTCCTTTCATTCTTCTTTTTATCTTTTCTGTCCTTTAAATTTGCTATCCCATTTCCTTCTCCAAGTCTTACTCCTATGTTTTCATAGTTAATTTCCTCCTTCCACTTGCCCCTATTCTTTCTCCCCTACCTTTCTTGTTCCTCTTCTTTATTCCTCCTTCCTTGTGTCTTCTTTCTTCATTGTCACCTTTCTTTTTTCCTGTATAGTTCCTTGCGCTCTTCCTCTTTCCTCATCTTCTGTTTTGTTCTGCCCCTCCCTTATGCCCTTCTTTTCTTTCCAACTCATGTTCTTCCTTCTTTCACTTATTTCTAATTCATTGTCCTTACTCAATCCATCAATCACCCCCCATACCTTTTGTTCTTTCATCCCTTCTGTGCTCCGCTTCTTTTACCTGCCTGTCATTTGGCTTTTTCAGATGTCATATCTAAAACGGGGCCACTTCAGAAATGCCATAAATCCAAAGTGAGATGCCATTCTTTATATTTTAAAAAAGAGAAAAAAATAGTCTAAAAATCAAATAGTGAACTAGTATAGAAAACATATAGGAACCTGTTGTGTGTGTTGATGTATGGATGTGTCCCCTATGTGCAAACATTTTCCCTCATTTGCAAGCAAGCTGTAACCACAAAACAGGAACAGAGCATCCATAATCGACATGTCATTACATTTTGTGGACAGCCCTTTGGCATTAGAGTAATGCGTTTATCACAGCAACTTTACAAGTCGGTAATATCACAGATGCACAGTTCTTTGCTGTCTGCTCCTCTCTCAGACATTGATCAAGCTTGTCCCAGGATGAGTCTAAAGGGATAAAAAGATGATAAATGTAGCAGCATTTCCATTTAATCTGTTCTGTATGTTCAGCTTGTCAACAGGTGCGTGTTTGGCAAAGCTGTAGGCGACTAGATATACATTTCTGAGGGGACAAATAGAGTGCCTCCTTGGTGTTGTGTTTGCCTTCAGAAAGTGTTGGACTGCTGCTGCGTGATAGCTCATGCAAACTTATTTTGGAGCTTTCTCGGCTTGTGTGTGAAAACGAGGTCACTGGGTTGTGGACCCATTTATTTAATTAGGAAAAGCTGAATAAAAAATGGATGACAATCAAGGGCAGGGAACTCATTTCAGCACTGTCAATCAATAACTCATTCAGCATGTTATTTTCCTTCCTCTAAAGAATTCAGATACTCCCTCTGTAACTGAACACTGCCTTTTTCTTGTGTGTTTGTAATTTATGCATTTCTTCCACCTTCTTTAATGCTCAATGTTGGGACTTATTCAATGTTCTATTTACAACATGGACATCAAATTTAGTTAAAATAAGTCATTGTTGAACATATTAACAACATGATGATATATTCTGAATAACCTAGACAGACTGCTGGGGGATACTTCTAAATGACAAAGACACAGCACGTCGCCTCTTGCATCTACCACACCAGCCTGTGGACTACACACACACACTAGCACTCATTACACAGTGCATAGCGACTGCTACATAGCAACCACTGCTGACTGCTTAGCAACAGCTGCAAAGACCTCAAGGGCGGGGGTGGGGGTTAGGGGTTTCATAGGGTGTATAAGAAGAAACCATCTCTGTTCATAAAAGCCATTTTTTTTTTCAACTTTCTTGATAAGTTTTACAAAGTAAGCTTTTTTGTGATTTGTGTCCTCTTACCTGTCCACAGATATCCGCTCTCTCCCTGATGTGGCGATGACCGGAAACTGCACAACTGAGTGCAGTGAATTGGGTCATTCAGATGCCTGCTGGATGCCAGGCCATCCCTCCCCTGTGCGTAAGACCAGGAATCCCCCCAAGCTCTCCACATTCGTGCCTTACCAGGAGAGAGGGAGTCTGGGACGCCTGGCCAACGGCAGCGCCAGGCTGAGTGGTGAGGAGCACCGGTCGCGCCTTCCACCCTCTCGCAGTGCCTATTCCAGCACCGGCCAAGATGCCAATCAGGACTGCCCTGTAGAGGAGATGCCCCTGAGTGTTGCCTCTGAGTTCCCACCCACATCCCCATCGGCCCACACCCCTAAACGAGAGATTTACCTGTGAGAAACAGATTGGTACCCAAATAAAGAAAGCTACACCCACTTCAGACGGAGAATAAAATAAACTGTCCACACACAGCCTGTGTCCAGGTTGTAAGCAACGATCGGTCGTGGCTCTTTTATTCACTGGCATGAACACTCATCATTTCTTACTCAAATTATCTGCTCATCAGCAAATCCTGGAATGATTCCACAAAAAAAAAAAAAAATTGACGCACCCCCTCATTTATTTATTGAAGCTCTCAACAGTTGCAATCCAGAAGGTTAGATAAGAAATGTAAGTGGAAATAGCTACTTTAGCAGTGACAATTCTTGTTGTAGTTAGACAAGACCCAGTATGTGAAGTGAGTTCTTGAAAGTTGTGATCAGTGCTCTTGTGCCATTTCTAGCTATTATTCAATAAACATCTAATTTGGCCATATTAGTAGACATAACACTTAAGACCAGGAGTTAGATCATAAGGTCTTCTTAATGTACAGAGCTGTAAATACATTTGAATGGTGTGTTCTGCATATTTTTTTCTGGCATAACCTGCAAAGAACGCCTCTGGATTTTAGCATATTTAAGCTATTCTTTACTGTTGCTGTTTAAACTTGACTGAAACCATCGAAAGAGACTAGGTATTGTGGAAAGCATTTATCTGCTCCACAATATCATGTGCGTGAGCGCACACATACCCACACCTATCCCTACACACCTTTGACCCCTAATCATAGTAGAATGGCCTTTACCTCCGCTCCCTGTAGAGCTCCGCCACTGGTGGAGAAAGCTGTGTGGCAGCATTTAAAGCGACATCATGTCCCACTGACTCGCAGCACTGTGACCTGTCGTTCATCATGAAAACGGTTGACTTGGCCACAGAACCCGAAGGGTTACGATGACCAAATGCAGAGTCCTCGCCAGACACATTCTGAGTGGCTTTTTGCTCCCTATTAGAGATTACACCAGTGCACCATTTGGAGAAGGTTCCTCCGTGTTGAGACAATCAGATGGGCTTCACATGCAAGACACAAGTTGTTCTCATTCCATAACCTCACATTACATAATATTGATAGAAATCTAACGAATGCCTAAGGGTTCAAATTAAATAAAAGGGCGCTTGAGTTTTAAGGTGCAGAGGGGTGTTATTACAATAACAACACTGAATAACATACCGACGTAAACCAGATAGATCCTGAATTTAGACAATTTATTTTTTGAAGGTATTCCATCACAATGAATAGGCTTGAATGGACAATTCAGTTGATAGTTTAAAATAAGAATAATCTTTACGTGCAAAGTTGTTGCAGTATGGACGTTCATTGTACAAAGTCTCAATGTGGGCCTATAAAACCATAAAATAATTTTACATTTAAATTTAAACAAAATAATGAACTTGAAGTCAGTATCTCAGTGCAAAACTATTTACAATTTTTTAAAGAAATTGAGTAACTAGTTAAAAGTAATGCAATTTATTAAAACATACTTTGCCTGTTGTCTAAATAAACAATCTCCGCTGTAGTCTAAATATACAGAAAACACTGGTGGTGGCACTGCTTTGTCTGAAACCATTAAATATATCAGAGGATGACTGTCTTGAGTTTCATCAACCTTACAATCAAATTTAATCAGCTTCCGTATACCTACAGTATTTAAGACAACTATCCTCATACTGAAACACAGTTGGACCTGTGTTATGCTGTGATGGCAGACTTCTGAATCAGTTTACAAAATAACTGTTAGACACAGTAAAGCTACAAAAAAGTTTACAAAAAGAGATTCGGCAAAAAAGCTTTTAGATGTGCAAAAGTGATATAGAAATACCCTGAACTCACTTTATTGCAGCAAAGGTATTTCTGAAGACTTTACATTTTCAGACGTCTCTGACTTTTGAAAACCATAGATTCTTGTTTATCCAGTTCGCAAAGATGTACTGCTACACTGCATAATCACAATAAACCTCAAACATTTAAATCTAAACTAAAAAACATAAAGGTACACAGTATGTAACACTTACAAGGCCTTGTATCAATCAATCAATCAATCGATTATGTATAGCACAGGGTATAACCTAAACAAGAGATGAAATGCATTTAGGTTTAGTTTGTCATTGCTGTTAATTCATTAATTATAATAATGAATAATCATTTTAATATTAGTAACCCAATTTCTGCTGTTAATCAATCAATTATATAAGTCATTTTTGATTAATTATTTAGTATGTTGATTTTTTTGATATCCTAAGCAAAGTGTAAAACATGTCATGCCAGTAATATTTTCTGGTAAATTCAGAGGATATGTTTGAAGGACACTTGTGTTAGTAGGTAATTGGATGTTAATGATGACTCCACTAACTTGCGCAAGAACATTGCATCGCTATTCTGTGTCTTTGATTTAAACATCAATTTGATTAGATTTGTAGATACCTTTCACCTCTGCAGGCTATTTCCATAGTGAGATTGTGCCTCTGAGTGAGGCTGAAGGAGCCGAGAATGGACATTTCCTAATTAGGGTGAGTAATGAGTCTTGAGCGGGGGCATGTGTGAGCAAACCCCCAGGACAAAGCACCCACCAGACAATGCAAATCCACCCACAGAGCTACAACATTTAAAGCGGGGGTATTTTTAGCAGCACTTACCTCATCAGACTGCCCACTGCAAGCTGCATTTTGTCGGTTTAAAAAAACAAAACATATGGAGATTACTGGACATGGCTGTGATTAAATAAGCTCAGCAGATATCCAGCCTTGAGGGGGAGAAAGCTCATTATGCCACTTTTAAAGCCATTTAGCAACTGAAATAAAAATTCAAACAAGCCATGATACACTGTGATTAACCTCCCTCCCCCCAGCCCTCTAAGATCTGTGGATTCACCAACTAAAAGCAGCGGGTAAGATCACTGACCTGGAATTAATAACAAGTGAGAAAGATGGCAATGAGTGATAAAATGACTGTCATGAAGCCACAGGTGTAAATTTGTCTATCTGGATCTTTTCACGCAATTCAGATTCGCCAACGGGATTACATCTTCTTCCTTTTCGAGCCTAGGTATCTCTGAAGAAATCTGGAAATAACCCGAGGTCTGCTTGATTACTAATAGACAAGGACATGGGTACTAAGACATAGTTTATAAAGAAGACAAGATACATAATCTTTTACTTTTCTGTCTGGCACTTATATAAACTAAACCTTTCCTGTTAAATGTCAGTTAGCAAAAACAAAGTGCCAAAATACTGAGATAAGCAATCTTTTATCTCTCTTTTTTTTTATATATATATATTCTGAATTCTACATTTAGATCATATGTTACAACACCTAAAAGACCATGAGCCACAGTGTAATTAGATTTTAAAAAAGAACAAATGAGTAAATAATGAACAGCATCGTGAACAGGTTTGTGGATGTCCACAAATCTGGTTTATTGATTATCTATTGTTATCTATTTAGTAAAAGGGTTCCATAGGGATCTGTTCAATCAGATACACAAGTAAATTGACTAAGGAATATCCAGCGATCTTATTTTTGTGGAAAGTAAAAAATTTTGCAATCCAGGAAAGAATTCGCTTTGGTTAAAAATGTTTAGATCGACCTCAAAACGAAAGCCTTATGGAGATGTTTGCTAGCAGCTGTACACAGGGGCAAAGACTGTAATCATTCAAGGCATGCCCTGTAGCCTGAGAGAAAAAAAAAAAAAAAGAATGATTATCTATGTACTCCCTCCCATTACTTTGCCATTTAACAAATAGACTTCATTTTGGTAGTCCGAACTGACCTTATGGAGGAAAGGTTTAAATTATTTACTGCCAAACAATAAGAAAAAATCCTGATTTGTAATAATTAGTTGCTTAGCCAATTGCACTGATAGGAGTCTGTTTTAATATAAAAGGAAAACAGAAAATAACCCCATTTCTACTTTGATAAGTGGAGCTATTTTCTGCAGCAGAATGTACCTCTTACTGCTCACTTCTGGAAAACATATCGCCAGGTTTGCCCTTTCTTTTGAACTTGAGGTAAATGAACTGTGTTGAAACCGCTGCTTCTCTTGATAAAGGTTTGCAGCAAAGCACCATCTGAAATGTGTTTGATAATGTTTAATTTGTACTTTTACATTGATTTAATGTTGCATTCACTTGAGTATATTTTGCCTCTGTAATGTGTATTGTATGGTGATCATTTCTGTGCACAGATAAAGAAATTACAGTAACAAAATTGATTTCATTTTCTTTCTTTTTACCGCTGGTCAAAGACTCTCTGCTAACTGGCTGTGTGAAAAAATGAAATCTGTCGGTGGCATTAGTGTACATAGGTCCTCAAGACCCCGAGGCTGCTGTTCAGTGAGCGGCAACTTTTAGCATGAATCCCAAAGATGATTGGTAGAAAACTGTTTACTCGTTATAGTTTTATTCGACGTCCCACTACCCCAGACGAACTGAAATCGACTGAACATTTCATCTTTTTTCCGCAGTTCATATAATACAAAGACTATTGCCTTGAAAATATGTCTTTGCAAGAGAGAATCTAGTTGTTATCCTAAATGTTGGTATATTTATATAGGATAAAATGCTTGTGATGCCATGTTTTTGTACAGTTTTATGTACATACAAGTGAAGCTTTCTAAAAGTTTTGAGAAAAGCCGATGGCATATAAAAATTGTAACATGTATTGAGATGTGCACATCTTGCCTTGGTTGGATTGACCTTTGCTGAGTCAGTGTGAATGTGGCCGTTCTATGCCTGCACTGTAGTCATTCACCGGCTCCCACTTCTTGAGGACTTAATCAGTTTTTCTGTTTATTGTGAACAGTGGATCGTCTTCTCTTACCGGTTTGTTAAACTCCTGTGTTCTGCTTTGTTCTCTTTCCGCATGTTGGCAAATTCTCTTGTAATACTGTAAGTCCTCATGAACTTTGTAATAAAATCACTTCAGGGAAAAAAAAAAAAAAAAACAATGTTGTCAGTGCTTTCTTTGATTTCTATTATTATTCATCACTTTTGAGTGTGGCGTTGTTACATTTCCAAGAGAGTGTGCAGCCTTGCGGTTGTGTTGTGTTGAAACGTGTCACCCTCAAGAGGTAATTAAGTAGAAATTGTATTCTTGTCAAGCAAGGAACAGTGGCCAATTTCTGATTCAGGAATGCACAAAAACAGATTGCTTGAACACTAAAAGTAATAGGGCCCCTGGACTTTTACTCAAAACCTGAACTACTAAAACACAAGATAAGAAGCATACAATACCATTGTACTTTAGTTTAATGCACATTTCTATATAGTTGCATATTCAAGCAATTTATATTTGTAAGGCTACTTTTGTCTTGTAATTTGTGTAGTTAAAACTTTACTATTTCTGGGGATTGCAGAAATCACTTTTAAATAGAAATCATTAAAGTCTGTAAAAGCCAAGTGGTATTTTCCCAGAGGAAAGAAAAATTTGATATGAAATCTCCAAAATGTTTCGTGTACTTCTCCTAGACAACTACGAGATATGTGTGACTCCAAAATGAGACTAAGGTTTATTTATCCTGTGTCACAGTTTTTTCTCTGCAGCAATAAGCTTTCTAAATCTCGATTTAATCGCTATACTCAGCTACAGCTCAAACTGTTTGATGAAACTGCAGGGGTTAAAAATTCACAGCTCCCAATGTATGTTCATAAACTGTACGACCCAACGATCTGATGCCATCTACCTTCTCACACTCTATGCCCAAAAACCACACCAACAGTAGTAGCCATTGAAAATTTCCCCACTTTCGTTGATGGGCCCTTGGCTGGTCCCCTATAATTCCTTTTTAAACATCAATCTTTGTACTAAAATATTCTTTCTGTCATGATTTGTAGAATGAAATCTAAAGAGAAGGCTTTCTCCTGGTCAGATCCTGTAATTCACTAAAAGTGTGGAGTCAGAGTAAAAAAATGCATGCCAAGTAGAAGGCCAGTGGCTGGAAGTTAGAGGGGATTTTGCTGGGAGTCGCAGGGTAGTGGGCTGCCATTGGGCGCACGTTTGACTGGGAAGGGTCATTTTGAGTGGCTGCAACTGTAGGACTCGAGAGATGGTGGTGGTCTGATTCATTAATGTGGAAGAATTAGAAAAACTCCCATGTTTGCCTGACCTTATAATTCCAGATCGGGAGGTGGCTGTGAGACAGTAATTAGCCCAATCTAAAAAAATTCTTACACGACTGGAGAATAATCCCGAAAAAGGGCAAAAACTCGTACATTTTATGCCTGTGTTTCGTCTCCTTTCAAGTTTTGAAAAAGATCTCAACAACCTCCAGACTTCCTCAACTTTCCTGTCTCCTGGTGATCTGACACAGAGAAATCAGAGAGCTCCCTCTATGAACTCAGTCTACTCTCATCCCAGCTTTAATTTCCTTTTTGGAAAGCAGTAAACACAGCATTCCTAGAATTGACCCCACATTCAAAACGTATGCTACCCTTGCTGTAAAACAAATATTGTTTTAGGAAGACCAGGAAGATTTAAATTATTTATTTTAAATGACAATTTAATGCTAACTTTGAAACAAGGAGTCATTTCATTTTTGCCCAAACCAGCAAAATACAAAAGATATATTGATAATCCAAGGCCAATAACTTTATTGATTGTAGATTACAAATTATTCACCTTTATTGTCTCCAATAAACTGAAAACCAGTTTGGTACAGATAGTGAAAACCAAGAGGGATTCTTTATGGATTGGTCTTAAAACAACAATATTAGGTTTGTTCTTGACTTAATAGGCCTTAATTCGTTCACTAAAGATAAAGGCTTTGTTTTATTTTTAGATTTCTACAGCATTTAACTCTGCAGAGCATCCCTTTATAATTAAATCCTTTGAGTATTTTGGCTTTGGTGAAAGTGTTATAAAAGTAAATAATTTAATGTATAAGGATATTAATAGTTCAGTTCCTCTCTCTCAAGGAACAAGCAGATTTGAGGTACAACGGGGAATCAGACGGGGTTGCCTTTGCTCTTCTTCTATTATCTATTTTAGCTGCAGAGTAGTTAACTGTTTTTCTTAAGAAAGGTCAAAAAGTTAAACCATTGAATGTATTTGGTTAAAATCTGTTAATAACTTGGCTCATTGATGATACCTCTATTTTTCTTAAATCCAGGTTACAAAGAGATATGGCCATTTTTGAATGAATTTTGATCACCAAAATAGAGGCACTCTCGATTTATATATGCAGATTGTCTTTCGTTGGGCGACTGCGATGTTGGATGCAGAATTTTGCCCTGTAAGCAGAGGGTTGTGGGTTTAATCCTTGGCTCCTGCTTTAAATGTCGTTTTATTGGGCAAGTGACTTAAAACGTATGTGAGGATAACTGATGGTAGTCAGAGGGCCCAGTGGTGCCTGTGTATGGCAGCATTGCTTTTTTCATTGAGCTCTAGCGTAACTGTTGCTACGTGTCTTGCCATGATGGTGTGTGAGTGGTGAATGGATGTGAATGTGTAAATCCAAGATTTGAAAGGTACTTATAATTTCAACTATTACTCATGTACTGTAATGTTAACCTATCACCTTATTTCTCATAGTTAATTTTAGGAGAAAAACATGAGACACATTTGAGATTAAATAGAACTAAAATGAGGCTGAGAAGAGAAACTCATATGAGCTATACTAAAGCAAGCTTTAAGTATATGAAAAAAAGCCTAAACCAATGAAGCTAGGTAGAACTTATGTATTTCCTAATTAGGAAATACATAAGATTGTTTAGTTGAATATCCCTCAATAAGATTTCATCACAGATGTGGTTACTTTGCACAGGATTGATTATTTCAATGTGCAATTTAATTTCCTAAAATATGAATACATGTATGCTGGTGAAGATTGTCAGACATCCTGGTAATAGTCATTTAAAAAAATCCACTCACATAGACCAATAACTTCTTTTTGACTCACAACACCCACTGGGACACAAACTTTCTGTCATCAGAACCTTACATGTGCCTACAAAAACAGAAGGGAAGCACAAAGAACAGAAACACATCGAAGATGCTCTCTAAACCCGTGGATACCCTAACTGGATGTTTGTCAAATCAGCAAGGAAATCCAAAAACACATAGCAGATCATAATGGTGAGAAAATTAGTCATTGAAAAACTTAAGAGGATTTTCTCCAAACACAAAATCCCAGTACATTTTAAACCAAACAAGACCACCAAACAAAGACTAGTGCATCCTAAAGAAAAAAAAACCCAGACCTAAGATGTGCGGCTTGGTGTATTCATTTCAGTGCGGTGAGGAATGCTCTGATAATTATATTGGAGAAACAAAACAACCTCTCCACAGACGCATGGCTCAACACAGAAGAGCTACCTCCACCAGACATGACTCGGTGGTACATCTAAACCTCATGGACAAAAGGCATTCTTTTGAGCACCGGAACGTTCACCTTTTGGACAAGGAAGACAGGTGGTTTGAAAGGGGGTGAAGAAAGATATTTATGTTAAGAAAGACAAACCAACCTTAAACAGAGGGGGTGGACTCAGATTTCAGCTTTCAAAAACCTAAAATGCAGTGATAGAGTTGATTCCTCATGCTACCATGGCAACCCCCACCCCATACAGGGGGCCAAAACATCTCGCCTTTTCAGCCAGGCCAACCATTCCCCCTAACAACCCCCCTTTCAGAGGCATAGACCAGTATTTGGGTATTGCAGGTTAACAAAGAACCTAAACGAAAACCCAGGGGTTGACCCGCTCTTCCAGTTTAATTAGCATGTTTTCTAAGCCAAAACAAGACTTTCTTTTTGGTCCACTGTATAAAGCCTCAAATTTAATGCTATTTCTGACATTTTCAATTGACAAAGCTCCCTGGAGAGGAAGCAAAACGTCTTCAAACTTGGAAACAAAACGTCTAGTGGATTTTTTTACTTTTTTGGAATGAATACATGTATTTTTTCCTAATTTGAAAACAGTTTATTCATAAAGATTTAAAAAGTTTAAGAAATAAGTTAAATTGTTCACATGAAAGATGTGAATGTTGCATTCCTCAGGTGGAAAGAGGATAAGAATCAGGTATGTTATAGGCACAAGGATGAGGAGCCAGAATATATAATGGGGGCTCATTAGTGCACATGGCATGTCTCATCTGTGAAGGCAACATTAATACTGAATGATTTATGCTGGCTTTGGAGAAACATTTTCTGCCATCCAGATGACATATTTTTCAAGGATACCTTGCTTATCTAAGCAAGAAAATCCAAAGCTACATTCAGTGCATAAAGCAATACAGCCCTGTAGATTATGTCTGTGTCAAACTTGCAAATTTACTTTTCAGGCATATCAGAAAAAAAAAAAAAAAAAAAAGATTGATACACAATAACAGGAAAAATTTAGCATGAAATAGTAATGTTAGATCATGCAGGAATAGTTAGCAGTTGTATTCACTAGGTTTAAGAAAATTCAATTCCCAAGACAACATGAAACAGTGCTGCATTTAAAAGAAAAAAATAGATTTTTAATATTTTTTAAATAATTTGCCTGCTCACAAGTCTTGCCTTAGGAATCAGTAATTAGAGCATAATAACTCCGTTTAGTTTTTTTTATCTTTTTTTTTTTCTAAAATCCTTTCTAGAATCCTCCTGTTTGAAAAAAAAAAAAAACATCTATAATTGGGACGCTCATGGATGTCACTCTCTATTGACCGACCCTTAGACACAATGAAATCTAAGTTGCAGTTGCTATTGTTTTTTTATTCTGTGTTTCAGTTCGGAATATATCTAAAGAGGTTATTCACTAGAATAAAAAAGGTCTTATCAAAACTTTTTACAAGACAAAAAAAAGGGTTAGACTTATATATATGATTTTTTAGTTAGGAATAAATACACTACACTCCAAAAAGGGTTACCAAATCAAATAGATAAAATAAAAGAATACAATGAAAAAAGCTAAAAAAAGGAATTATATTTGTATCACAAAATATA